TGGGCAGACAATTCATGGATTTTTCACCACGATAATGCGCCGTCACATTCCAGCCTGATTGTGACTAAATTTTTGGCCAAACACGAAATAAAAGTCATCGCTCAGCCACCGTATTCGCCAGATTTGGCTCCCTGTGACTTTTTTCTGTTTCCGAAACTCAAATATCCGCTCCGGGGAACGCGCCATGAATCGATTGAGGCCATAAAAAGAAATTCGCTGAAGGAACTAAAGGCCATCCCGGCCGAGGCCTATAAGAAGTGTATGGAAAATTGGATTAATCGTTGGCATGCTTGTATTGGCTCAGAAGGAGGCTATTTTGAAGGCGATCATAAAGATTTGTATTAAAATACATAAAATTGTTGTTTTTTTTAACCAGTCCGGGTCAAATTTGATCAGATGGTAGAATAAGCGGACATATAAACATCCTCAATTTATCTTAAATGCCTCCTAAGTTTCTTCAGGTATGTACTCTAGATGTTTGAAAATCCCTCGACATACATCTGTAGGATGTACCTAAGATCAAGTTTTATGTGGGACGGTACGCCATCTTATGATGTATTATTATATTCTGCTATATATATATGAACTATGTGTTTGATATCCGTACATTTAAATATGCACAATATACCTACTACATATTACATACGTATCATATACGTATTGCGACTTGAATATGCACAATATATCCACTACATATTACACACGTATTTCGACTTGAATATGCATACACAATACATCTGCTACATGTTGCACGTATTAAGTACATATTTTGTTAATTACGTATTTAATATTATACATTATATTTGATATGAAATGAAATGCAATGTCAATGCAATATATATAGATATATATTAATATATATTTGCAATGAAAGGTGTTGTGAGGGAACGTAATATAACAATATATTGTATTATAAAACGATAATGTATAATTAATAAGTTATAAGATTGGAATCATTTAATGCATCAGAAACATAAATATTGTACATTAATATTCAATAACTGCTTGCAACTTAAAGATTATTATATCGATCGAATCTTTTAGATCAGATATAGAGGTACAGTTAGCTGATTTTCGAATATAGATATAATATGTACTATAAAATCTAAATCAATATGATATTAATATATAATAAAAGACATAAGTCATAATGCTTTCAATATACTCTGATTAAAAGAAAATACTAATGTAATATTGCAGTCAACTTTTGTACTTAACTTATCTGCAATATAATATTTTAACGCTATCATCTATTCGTGATGGTGAGCTCACTGAGGTCACCGGGAAAAAGCGAGGATCAATTCATTGTTATACTAATAATATTTTCGTAATATAAATATTATCTTATAAATGTTATCTTGACGTCAAAATGCTGATAATAAATGTCATTATAGCTAATTATCTGAAAATTTTGGAACCGCTTGTTGCAGTCAAGTACATACGCTACTTATACATATAGGTCTAACAGCGCTGCTAGTCCAGGCGTGGTTATCTTTCCGACACGGTGCATGGCCATATTAACGATTGGCAACGATACTTTTAGCGGTAACCTACAAATACGAGATGAGAAAAACCCATCGACCTCGAGCAGGGCCAAAGACATCATCGATGCGCGCGAAACATCTAACGTAATTTTAAATATCAAGTGTACTTCGCAAAAAGTGACATTTCTTATAACCGTCAATGTCATTATTACTTCGTTATATTGTTGAGGGGAACCCAACAATGAAACGACGCAGTTTCTTTAATATCTAAACACTGAGAAGTCTGCGTACTTTCCCTCTTTTTTTCGCGCGATAAATTCTTTTTGCGAGCTTCTTGAAATGCTTAGATCATTTTTCGAAATAACTCAATCGGTTGGTTCCGGCTTCAGATTTTTACGTTGGATTTTACAATGTCGCATACTTATGCCTTCAAAAATCCCGTTACATTTACGTTATCAATATCTTTCGAGAAATAATATGAATCATAGATCTGTTGTATTTACATTAGAATCTTTAGAAAAAAAGAAACGTACCTCTTTCTTCTTTTTGAAGCGATTCGAGGAGCTTCCATATTTTTAACTCAACAAAATAACACTTGCACGATAACATTTTTGTTCTATGCATGCAATAATCACAGACAAATCAGAAAACAACGTAAGAGAGAAATCTCTTTGATCCTCTCGCTACTCTTAACAAATTACAAGCAAATTTACCGACACATCTAAAGCTCATTTCATTATCATAGTGGGTTAATATTTAGATTAAATAAAGCAAATGTTTTTATTATTTAAATATTTTAAATTCTAGTGCGACTTTTAATTTTTATGCATTAAATGTTATTTTTATTTGAATGTTTTATTATTTACTTGGTTTCATAATTACGTTACAAAATCACATTAAATTTCATTTGATGTAATATATTCATCAAAGCATGATTTACTTATCAGGTCAATTATTTAATTATCTAACTTTTTTTCTTTCTAAACCTTCCCATCGAATTCATAAAAAAAGGTTTCGTCCAAAAAGAAAGGATAAAATGAAAAATAAATTACATCTGTTTTTCTCTGTAGAGAAATCGATATGTGTTGATATGTATTTATTAGAAAAAAAGACAAAGGAAGCGCTAGATTTATGTGTGTATGTGTATGTGTGTGCGTGTG